TCAGTGGTGGCTGTGAGAGGGAAAAGATCAGGAGAACAAGCTTTCAGTTCCTAGCGGGTGGATGGAGACGAAACTCGGTCAGGCAGTTGTGTACAGCTTGAAGTGAGTCAGCAAGGTGATAGCTGCTCCTCCATTCATCTCCTAACATCACCAAACCCAGAGTTCCCCCAATAAATCTACCTGTCTCCAATGCTCTCCTTTAGCCAAGGGGACCATGGCTTTCTCGGGAGGAAGCATGAAAAGATGTCATTTGGATCACTTCCATTGGCAGCTGTGGTGAGTAAAGCCTGCCCAAGACATCGAGTATAGACTTCCACTGCCTTGCATGTTTAAGGAGAGCTGGATTAAGGAGGATTTCTCTACCCTTTAAATACATGAGATTTCTGGTACATATTGCTGTGGAGGAAGATAGGAGAGAAAGAGATCCTTTAGATGGTGTTTCAGCAACATTGTCTTACACAATCATCTGAGAATGACATATGTACTCCCCTAGACAACTGATGAAGAATCCTGCCCTGTCTGCAGGGAGGATATAAATTATACCCTGCAGTTCAGCAGAGCTCCCTTAAATGGAATTCACCTCAGAGGATTTTGCCTTCAATCACTGAGGCTTGGAATACCTCTGCACAAGTTGAGATGTGCAACATCCATCTAAGGTGCTCACCAAACTCCTGCCTTAGACCTCAGAGACAACCTGGCACTTCTAGAGGGCTTTTATCCTGTATGTGAGGCAAAATGAACCATGTGTCGCTCATGCTTTTTCTCTGTCCATGGAGAAAGAAGGGGGGTAAGCTGAGGAGCTGAGATAAGAGTATTACTCCATAGATATTTCAGCTTGGTCAGTAGAAATTCTTCCCCTGACCCTGGGATGGCAAAATTACGAAGAGGTGAATCCTACCTCTAGCAGCTCTGCTGAGAAGCAGAGATCAGTGGAGGACATGGGGATATTTACCAAAGCTTCCTGTGCTGAGACCTGGAAGAAAGCAAATATACAAGACCAGGAGTCCTTGAGCAGTATTTTATGTTAGATATTTCAACTTGGTCAGCAGAAATCTGACTTGCAAAGGCTTTTCCTATGGCTGGAGAGCCTCAGCCTGCTGTCCATACTTTCCTATGTTGGTTTCTTATCTCACAGAAGTGACTACATTTACTGTCTTCTAGATGAGGTGCCTGATCCAACAAATAATTCTCCAAATGTTCATTTGCTGATTTTCAGGATCAGATCTAGTTGTCCAAACATGTTTTAGCAGAGGAGGATTTCCCTGACAATTTTAACTGAGGATAGATGCCATTTTTGCATACTGTGAATTTTCAGGGATGGTGGTTTTGTTTCATTACCAGTATCATCTGAAGAGCCAGCACAGGCAAGCAAACTCAGAGAAACTTTTCTTTCTTTGCAGATGGACCTCAACAGATGGAAGGACATGGCAAATGGGACAAATGTGGAAGAATTTGTCCTTCTTGGCTTCCCAGGCACGTGGCATTCCCGAGTGTCCCTTGTGGTGGTGTTTGCACTGATGTACTCCCTGACAGTAATAGGCAACGCATCCATCATAGGTCTCGTGTGGATAAGCAGCAACCTACACACCCCAATGTACTTTTTCCTCAGCAATCTCTCCTTTCTGGAGATCTGGTACACTACGGGTGTTGTTCCCAAAGCCATAGGAGTCATGCTGGGGACTAGCCAGACCATTTCCTTCAGGGTCTGCATCCTCCAGTTGTTCTTTATTCTCTCTCTAGGCGCCACTGAGTGTTTTCTACTGTCTGTCATGGCCTATGACCGCTACTTAGCCATATGCTACCCCTTGAGATACAGCTCCCTCATGAACAGTGGCCTCTCCACTCGGCTGGTGCTCAGCTCCTGGCTGGGAGGCTTTCTGGCTGTCTCCCTGCTGGCCTTTCTGACATCCAGGCTGACTTTCTGTGGACCAGATGTCATCAATCATTTTCTCTGTGACATAGATTCCTGCCTTGCCCTCTCCTGCAGTGATACATGGCCCGTGGAGCTGGCAACGTTCCTTGTCTCCATAATTGTTGTGGTGGCTTCCTGTGTGGTCACCTTGGTCTCCTACATGTACATCATCTCTTCTATCCTGAGGATCCAGTCAGTCCATGGCCGGAAAAAGGCCTTTTCCACCTGCTCTGCCCATCTCAGTGTCGTCACCATCTGGTTTGGCTCCACCATGTTCCTCTACGTCAAACCATCAGCCCAGAATTCCCTGGATCTGAACAAACTTGTGAATACCTTTAACACGGTGGTAACTCCTTTGTTAAACCCTTTCATTTACACACTCAGAAACAAAGAAGTGAAGCAAGCTCTGGGACGGGCTTTCCAGAAGAAGTGAAGTGGCTTTTCAAAAGGCCCCAGTGTGAGCAAACAGATTGATCCCTTCCCTCCCCTGACTTCTGCTCTGCAGAGGATCCTCACAGAGTGTGTGTGTGTGTGGGCACCCCAGGCAGTGAGAAGCCTCCAGTTCCCCAGCTTATCTCACTCACAGCCAGCTCAAGTTGGGCTGAGCCTCAATTCTATGGCTCCCACCACCCTCTGTTCCTTCTGAGGCGAATCCAGCATGCATCCCAGTACTTTAAAGAGCAGTGCTTGGAAAGGGTCACAAGCCCCATCAATAAGCTAACAGAGCTGGAGGAGTGGTCCTATAACAGGTTTCTATTCGAGTTTGCCAAGTGCTTCATCTTGTCAGGGTTTCTCTGAATCCCCTAAAGAAATCCCAGCAACTGGCTCACTGTTTAGGAAATAGATGTGTTTCTCCATTTAGTCTGATGTTTTCTGGAGGTATCTATGCCCCATTCTTGTGGCTATTTCATTGAATCATACTCTGATTCAAGATAAAATTTGACAATGTCTAATATTTCTACCTGCAGTCACTATTCCCAGCATAAGACTGTAAACAGATTTTACATAATTCCTCTTCTTTCCTCTCCTTAATATCTGAATCTACTCTTTTAATTTTAATTAAAAATATGCAAAATAGTGTGCTTTCACACTGGATGGGTCAGATCATTTCCACATCTAAAACCCACATCATTTTTAACAGCCCATTTTGGTCTTTGTTGTGGAAAAACTGTAATGCCATGGCAAAGTGCTCAGACTGCAGAGCTTTGGAAGGCTGGCTGGGAAGCAAGTCTCCCTTCACACTCAATGGGAGGATATTAGCACTTCCAAAGGCCACTTGCTTTTTCCCTCCCAATTTTCATTTCAGAACAGATTAGTCATGTTCTCAAAGCTTTTCTTTCTGCACACTGACCGTGAAGAGTCCATGTGGCCACTTCATAAAGAGGAGGCATCAGCATGACAGACACGCCTTTATGGAGAGTGTGGGATTGATTTCACCTGAGTGTGGAGCTCCCCAACTGAGATGATTGAGTCTGAACTGAACATCTACTCCTTCTAGAAGCAATGGCACTTCTAGGGAGATTCACCAACCTCCTGGATCCGCCTGGGCACTTGGCTCTTCGACCTGCATCCAGGCCCAGGCACCACTGCCCAACGACAGGCTGAGTCCCACCCTTGTCAGCTGTGCTCTCTTTCCCAGTGGCATTTGGGAAAATCCCTGGCACAGCCCACTGAGGCTGCAGAAAAAGCCTGAGATTGGATTTATCCTCAGGTAGACATCACTGCTTGTCATTCTTGCCTGGGAATGATGCAGTTTGGGGAGAATTGTGTCTGTGGAGTGTTGAAGCCCTCTGCAGCACTGGAGAGCAACAAAAAGCTAGAGCTGGCATGTCCAAGAAATCTGAGACACACAGGATACTGAGAGATGCTGTGAATTCCTCATCAGCACTGCCTGAAGCTCTCTGAGATAAACAGAGGCATACAAAGCCTCAGAGGGCTCTCTTGGAGTTCATTTAGGTAGTGGAAGGGGCTTTAAGTTGTCCCTAGGGCCTTCTCCAGGTGAACGCTGCCAGCTCTCCCAGCCTGTCTCCAGAGCAGAGGGGCTCCAGCCCTTTGAGTGTCTTTGTGGTCTCTGGGCTTGCTCCGGGAGCTCCACATCCCTCTTATGTTGGGGGCCTCAGAACTGGGCACAGCACTCTAGCTGGGGTCTCACAAGAGAGGAGTAGAGGGAAAGAGTCACCTCCCTTGACCTGGTAGTGACTCTTCTTTTGATGCAGCCTGGGATACAATTGGCTTCCAGGGCTGCAAACAACATTGCCAGCTCATGTCCAGCTTCTCATCCACCAGTACCCCCAAGTCCTTCTTGGCAGGGCTACTTTCAGTCCACTCATCACCCAGCCTGTGCTTGGGAGTGGTCTAACCAATATTCAGGACCTTACACTTGGACTTGTTGAGCTTCATGAGCTTTGCATGGGCCCACCTCTCTACCCTGTAAAAGTCAATGTTGTAGGAACACAACACACAGTGGACTCTGAGGACACCTGGGGACAACCAAGGCAGGGCAGAAGCATTGTGGGGAAGAACAAGGCCCCACACAAGCTCTGGGAATTGTTTGTGTACTCACAGGCTGCACAGAGAAGGGATGAGTCAAAACCAGCCAGAAATTTTTCCTGAGGGCAGAGTTACGCAGGTTGGAGCCAGCAGCACAGTCCATGGACACGGAGAGGGAAGAAGTGACCATAGGGAGGGAAAGAGAAGTTTAGGACACATCCTCATGAAGAGGAGTCCTTGGACATCCAGCTGAGGATTCCTGGAACTTCTTCTTTAGAACAGCAATTCAAACAACCCCACCAGAGTGATCCAGACTGATATATCACTTGCCTGCTCTGGTCCCATCCAGCACATAAACTGAATCTTCCACCTGCAGTGCTGCATTCCTGCTTTAGAAATCCTGGGGCCTTTAATCCCAGGGATCAGAAGAAGCCTTCATTGGGAAATGGGCATGGAACAAACCGGGAAATGAAAAGGCAGCAGCGCAGGAAATGAAAGCACAGCCCATATCATCAGCTGTGCTGGTTTGCATGTAAGATGAGCTTGTGGGGAAATTGTTACCTCTGGAAAGGCTGCCCCTGGTCCTGAGGCAGTGAAGGGCAGGTATAAAAGGCAACCCCAGTCCCTGCTCTCTCATCCACTTCTCTTGCCTCCTTCTGCTTGGGAACCAGGTGAGTGTGAAGCCCCTTCTCCTCCTCTTCCAAACAGAGGTCTCCATCACTTGATGGACATCTCAGCTGATTTTGGCTTTCTCATATTTGGGGTTTGGAGTGCTTTTTCATGAGAGATGAAAGCGGGGAGGAGGTTGGCACAGAGAGAGACTGGGACACGACTATGGTGGCTTTTGGTTTTTGCACCAGAAGAGAGCTTTGCTTCCTTGGGCCAGGCTCTTAGTAGCACCCTGGCCAGATGAGGCGATGAAGACTGTGTGGCTGCTGGCACAGTCTCCAGCATCCACTCATGGATGGCCTTTGCAGTTTTGTGATGAGATAACCAGGTTGCTCTTCACCCATCCACCCTTGTGCTCTGTTTGCTCTCTGTCCTCTGTCCCAGGTGCAGCTCCAGCCCCAGACATGTCCTGCTACACCCCGTGCCGGCCCTGCCAGCCCTGCGGCCCGACCCCGCTGGCCAACAGCTGCAATGAGCCCTGTGTCAGGCAGTGCCAGGACTCCACTGTGGTCATTGAGCCGCCGGCTGTGGTGGTGACCCTGCCCGGGCCCATCCTCAGCTCCTTCCCACAGAACACCGTGGTGGGATCCTCCACCTCCGCTGCCGTTGGCAGCATCCTCAGCTGTGACGGAGTGCCCATCAACTCCGGGGGCTTTGACCTCTCCTGCATCACCAGGCGCTATGGTGGCAGGAGGGGCCTCCCCTGCTAAAGCTGCTGAGCATATACAGGTCTTGGGAGGTTTCCCCAAGATCTCCAGACATCGAGAACAAAGAGAGAATCTTCAGGTCATTTCTTTCAGAGGAACTGAGCATCTTCAGCTCCTCCTAAGAACGCTGGCAGGAAGGGGCCAGCCTGGGCACTTTGAAAACGTGGCCCATGTCTTTCCTTTGATACTTCTACATACCTCCTTTTCTCATTTTTCATTCTTTTCTTCTGCCTCCCTGGGCTGCAAGGCTCCTCCAAGCCAGCCTGCACTCTACAGCAAAGACAAATGGATGCCCTGCATGGATTTCGCCTGGCCAAGAGGTGAAATCTCTTGTCCCTCCAGACCACTGCACTGAGGTCCTGTGCTTGTGGTGACTTTGATTCCATCTTTAAACTCAATAAAGATTTTTACATCTCAGCCTGAGTCTCCAGCTGGTCCTTCCCTCAGTGTATGGCCTCGGGGTAATGGTGTTGATCCTGTCAAGGTGACGATGTAGGGAGATCCTTCGCCCAGAAAAATGTGAGACTGGGACATGCTGCAGAGGGTCCTCTTCAGGGCACTATCCTAGGGCAGTATGTAAAATATTCTCAGCTACCCCAGAGCAAGTGGCAATCAGCCCTTGCCTTGCAGTGTCTTTGCCCAGACATCTCCCCACAGGTCCTACAAGAACCTCTACTGTCCTCAAGTGACAGCTAGAATTCCATGGAAGCTCATGGAGACAAACCACCTTGTAGGATCACGGGAATGGGGCACCTCTTGCTCTGGTCAGTGCTGTGGCAGGGGAGACAGAAGATGTTCCCAAAGGAAAGCAGGAGTGTGGATGGGTGGAATTGCCTCAGGGATGGCCCATGGCCTCATGTCCTCCTTCTCCTCCCCTCCATTGCCCAATCTGGGGCCTGGCCAGCACACATGGGCATGGGCAGCCAGGGTCAGTTCCCCTATCCAGCCCTACCACTGCTGAGGCCCATGGCAGAAGCCAGGTTTTGGCAGGCAGGCAGAGCTCATTCACAAGTCAGTATTGGGATTAACCACTCTGGGTCTCACACTTGGGTCCCCGGGAATCCCATGGGCCAGGGCAGTCCAAGGACAGTAATTGGTGCCCACAGGCCCATCACTGACCAGTGGAGCTTTGTCACTCCCAAGCTCGGGTGGAGCAGCTATGTTCAAGCTCAGCACCCGCAAGGCCCTGCTGCGTCAGAACCAGCTCTGCTCCAGAAAAGCTCTGTGCAAGGTCATTCTAGACCCCTTGAGCTGTGGAGGTGACAATGGGACACACTCAGTCGTATCTGTGAGCTCTCTGTGGCAGACAAGTTTTGTCCATGGGAGTCCCTCTTGCTTAGACTGATGCTCTTGGGCACTTTGATCAAAAGCACTTTAGAGGCCTCAGTCAGGAAGAGCCTGATAAACAGAATCCATCCGTCCATCCTTCCATCCACAAGGGAGACTGTGTAAATTGCCCTTTCCCCATCTGGGAACTTGAAATGCAGGCAAATGTTCTGTTCTTCCAGAGGGTCAGGTTGTGAACTCCTTTGACAACATTGTCTCCTCTCGCCTGTTTGACCAGGGGCGAACTAGGATGACAGAGGTATCAAGGTGCTGAACACATCTCTCTTGGCAATAAGGTTGATGGAGGCTGTGTAAGCCAAGTTCTGCAGGCCTCAGTGCCACAAAATATCTGTACCCTGTGCATATCTGTTGGAAATCCCTGCTTTTTAGCCATCCCTTCACAATTTACCCTGTGGGTAACAGGGCTGATGACAGCACAGCACAGAGTATCCCTACAGAAAGCTGGGCCTATCAGTGTCCCACATTCCTCTTCCTTTCCATGACATACTCCTGGCATTCGTCTTCTCTGAGTTTCTGCGAAGGACATCTGGCTTCACTATTAATACAGGCACTTAGGGATTTTTTCTGTGTACTACTCTGAAATTTCTTTTTCAACCTTCATTCTCAGCTTAAGGGATCGATTAAAAGGCTGGCACATCTCAGACATCTACAATTGCCTGGATGCAGGGAAGGAGCTGATGAAGGCAAAGCTAAATTTTGCATGAAGGGACCAACAGGGAAACTTCCCTGCACATTCTTCCTGCCGGAGATTTGGGGCAGAGCCGCTGAACCCCTCCACCTCTTTGGCCAATGGACATGTTCCTGTGATGCCCATGCCTCACCTTCTCCCCCACAAGAGCTGCACTGTGGTCACTGGGTGAATTGGCAATATATGGGCAATCCAGTTCCTTGTTCTACCTGGCACTCCTGGAGTACCCCATTCTCTCTCTGCTCCACAGTGCCCCAGGGCACTGGCACCACCCCTGCCCCAGGGATGCAATGGCACGTGCAGGGACCAGCCCAACCACAGAGCAAATGTTGGGGCATCCCCACCAACACTTGTCTACCCAGTAGCCCCAGCACCTCCCTGGCTTTCCCTGGGCAACATGTAGTGGCTCTGCCCTTTCACTCCAGTGCACAGTGATATCACGTACAGTGATTCTTAAATTCTGTATCTGTTTGGGCCAAGATCTCAGGCTGACACAGCACCAGGTCAATGAATCGCACAAATACATTTGACATTGGCTTTTGCATGAAGGAGAGCTGTGTCCCACACCTGAAAGCACCAGCAATTCACTGGAAGCAGGTTTATTTGGACATGGCCTGCACAAGGAGGGTAGGATTCCTTATCCTTTCTCCAGATCCATAAAGCCAACCCCATCCTTTCAAACTCTCTAGCAGCTGTGCCCTGGCCTGGTGAGGCAGGCAGAGGAGGACTGCCCACCATGCTGAGGCAGTCCCAGTGCTGGTACACTGAAATGAACTAAGGATCTTAATTGGTGGGAAATGGTCCTTGTTGGGGCTTGGTATCAGCAGCAGTGGAGTGTGAGCTTCATAAGAACAGGAGGGTTCAGCAAACAGGGGTTGGATTACAGTGACTCTTGGAGAGATTTCTAGGAGGCTGATGCCATTACCTTTCAACTGCACTTGAGCTCCTGCTGATGCTGGGAAAATGCTGCTTTGCAGAGCTCATGAACTGAGCCATGGAGAGTGCCCCTGCCATGAGCATGTCTGTTTGTGAGGAGAGACACAAAAAGACATAAGCTCTTGTAGACCTGTCAAATATTTGGTACATTCATACAAGTCTGGCTGCACACAAATCACCCAAGACATGAACACATGTAGGAACACAATCTACTGTGAACTCTGCTGAGGACACCTGGGGACAACCAAGGCAGGGTTGGAGCGTTGTGGGGAAGGACAAGGCCCCAGGCAAGCCCATGGCAATGTTTATGTACTCACCAGAGAGTGGATAAGTCAAAACAAGCCTGAAATTTTTCCTGAGGGGAGTGTTAGGCAGGACAGAGTCAAAAACAGCAGTCCAATGCACACATGTGGAGATAACACAGGATCACCCATCAAGGTGAGCTGAGGAGGCCATGGACCATCTTCATGCACAGAAGTCCTTGGGCATCCAGTTGCAGACTGGATTTTTAAAGAGGGGAAACAAAAGACATGGGGAACTACAGACTGGTGAACCCCACCTCTGTACCTGGAAAGATCATGGAGCAGATCCTCATGAAAGCAATTTTAAATCACATACAAGACAATCCACAACAGCCAGCAAAGCTTCTCTGAGGGCAACTCGTGTCTGAGCAACCAGGTGGCTTTCTATGGTGGAGGGACTGAAACAGTCAACAAAGGAAGACTGACCAATGTCCTCTGCCTGAACTTCTGTCCGGTCTTTGAAATGGTCCCACACAACATCCTTATCTCCAAATTGGAGAGACATGGATTTGAAGGGTGTACTATTGTGAATATGGAAATGGCTGGATGGACATAGACAGGGAGTTTTGGTCAATGGCTCTATGATCAGGTGGAGGCCAATCATGAGAGATGTCTCTCAGGGCTCTGTCTTGAGACCAGTGCTTTTTAATATTTTTCTTCAATGATAGAGACATGAGATTGAGTGCCTCCTCAGCACATTTGCAGATGACACAAAGTTAAGCAGTGCAGATGACACTACAGAAGGATAGGGCGATCCAGGGGGACCTGGACAAACTTGAGAAGTGAGCACATGAAAACCTCATGAAAATTAAGAAATTCAATGCAAGGTGCAGCACTTATATCAGGACAATCCCAGACATGAGTACAGACTGGGACATGAGTCACATTCACATTAACAGCAACCCTGTGGTGTTCTGGTAGATGAAAAGATGTACACGAGCCAACAGTTCGCATTTGCAGTCCACAAAGCCAACTGCATCCTCTGCTGCATCAGAAAAGGTGTGACTGGCAGGCTGAGGGAAGTGAATCTTTGCATCTATTCTGCCCTCATGAGACCCCACCCGGAGTACTGTGTCCAGACCTGGAGTCTTCAGCAGAAGAAAGACGTGTACCTGTTAGATCAGGTCCAAAGGAGGCCACAAAGATGCTCAGTGGGCTGGAGCAACTCTCCTTTGAAGACAGGCTGAGAGACTTGAGGTTATTAGCATGGAGAAGAGAAGGCTCTGGGTAGATCTCATTGAGGCCTTTCAGGATATGAAGGGGGCTTATAAGAAAGATGGAGAGCAACTTTTTACAGAGGCAGATACTGATAGGACAACTAGGGGAACAGTTTGAAATAAAAGAGGAAAGATTTAGATTAGATGTTAGGAATAAATTCTTACACAGACGGTGGTGAGCCAATGGAACCATTGACCCAGGGAAGCTGTGGCTGCCCCATTCCTGAAAGAGTTCAAGGCCACGTTGGATAGGGCCCTGGGCAGCCTGATCTAGTGTCCTTGTCCATGATGAGGGAGTTCCTTCCAACCCAAGCCATTCTATGATTACATGATTCTATGACTGCTGCAGATTCTGTCTGAAAACAACACTTCAAACAACCCCACCAGAGTGATGAGGATAGGATCACTTGCCTGCTCTGGTCCCATCCAGCACATAAACTGAATCTTCCACCTGCAGTGCTGCATTCCTGCTTTAGAAATCCTGGGGCCTTTAATCCCAGGGATCAGAAGAAG